TCCCCGGGGCAGGCCTAGGCCGCGTCGGCCGTACCCCAGTACCTCGCTCCCGGGCGGAGGTGGACCAGGCCCGACACAAACTTCCCGGCGCGTTCGCAGAGGCGTCACGGACGGGCCGGCCCCCAGCGCCATTCCCCCGCGGCCCGGCGGCGGCACCCGCCCCTACTCCCCACACTCGGGAGTCCCGGCGGAGATCGGCCCGAGGCCCACAGCCCCCACCCCTCCGGCGCCCCCGAGTTTACCTCCAAGTCGCGGCCTTTGTTCTTGAAATTCTTGAGCCGTTGGTTGTCCAGTTTCTCGTTGTCCGCCATGGCCGGGCCGGTGACTCCTTCCCCCGCCCGGGCCCCGCGGGATCCGCCCCAACCACCACGCCGCACCGACACTCCCAGGAACCGGGCCGCCGCCTGAGCTGCAATGCCCGCCGCGCCGCCGCTTCCTTCCTCCTCTCACCTGCCTCCGCCGCGGCCTACTCCTCCTCTCCCCGCCCGCCCCCCCCGCCCTAACCCCAGCGCGACCGCAGCTCGGGCGAAGACAACTGCGGGGCCGGGCGGCGGCAACGGCGGCGGAATGTGCTGCCGGCTGAAAAGGGGGAGGCAGCCTCGATCTGAGGGCCCCGGAGCCGCGACCACGCCCATCACCGCCAGCCCAGTTCTCCGATTGGCCAACCAGGCTCCGGTGCGCTCGACCAATCAAAAAGGACGATGGAGAGCGGGGGCGGAAGAGAAAACGGAAAGGGGAAGAGAGCAGCGTTGGGAGGAAGGGCCGGAGGACTGGAAGGCCGGGAGGGGCGCGGCGGGGGCAGGGCGGGGAGCGACCACGTGCCTGCCGAGCGACCAGGAGGAAGCGAAAGAGAATTGGACAACTTGAGGGGAGGCGGGGAAGGGGAAGGAGAGGCCCGGGAACGAGTTGGTTTGCTCTTGCCGCGCCGCCCCAGACCTCTGTGTTCCAGAATGGAAGCGGAGTTAAAGTATTTTTTTTTTCTCCAGCGCGCCTTCTCTTCTAGGGCATTGCTTGCGCGCTCCGTTGGCTTTACAGGAAGTAGGAGCTGCACCTTGGCTCAGTCCGGGTCCGGGCACGTCCGCCCCCTCACCCCCCAAGGTCCATTCCCAGGCTGGGGGTTCCCGCCGTGGGGTTTGGATCCGCAGGGGTGACGTGCGTTCAGGAGTCGCAGCGGAAAGCGAGAGGGACAGTGGGTGGAAAAGGGAAAGGACGCATTAGGCAAATCTGATTCATCCCTTCAGACCACGTCCCCGCAACAGGTAGGAACTTGGGAAGCGCTGATGATCCGGTGATGATACCGTCTTTTAGGTATTTCGTTTTAGAAAGTTAAAGAAGTTACTTGGCCACAAAGTACTAACTTCTGGAAGGCGGGGATTGTGGCACCTGACATAATAATGTAGTATTGTAACTGTTGAGAAAGAAAATGAATTCCTAAGGGTATACATTTCTATCAGGAATATTATTACTAGACGCAGAAATAACAAGCTACGAAGGAACGTGTTCAAATATTTCAGAAAAAGGGGGAAGGAAATGGTTTAAAAATATATTTATCAATTAATAGCTCCTCAAATATGCACGGAAACGAAGTAGGCAGCAAAAAACTCAGATCGGAAGGAAAGGGGGCGGTATAGGAGCATTGGGTGTGTTTAAAATTTGGCGAGGCATGGGGATTTCTTTCGGGAACTTTTACTCCTCGCCCGCCGCCCCCTTCCCTCCCACTTCCTTGCTGATATATATACCTTCAAAATTCTCAGTACTTTGTATACTTTCAGCCGCCTAGGGAAACAAGCTGTACCTGGAAATAATTCACACTGAAGGTTAACTTGAATGTAAATTCATTGCCAATCTTAAAATATAAATGAAGTTCATTCTAGATTCTATTCTCCAAAGAATAATTGAAGTAACACTGCACACTGGAGCACTGATGTTTTCAAAATAAATTTAGGATAAGAAAATTCAGTTGAAAAGATGGAGTGTGTGTGTGTGTGTGTGTGTGTGTGTGTGTGTGTGCGCCCCCATCACGGATTTTTGTTATGAACAGGATTCTAGAAAAATTACTGGTGAATTCCCACCCTATGATTAGAAATTATCCTGTCAACATGCATGTATAGACGAATATTTTGTACTTCTTGGTATAAATTCCGTGATAGCTTTCATGGTGAAGTTCATAAAATTGTCTATCATCCTATGTGATTATTTCTCCCAGCTACAACTGGTTGTCTTTGGTAGTTAAACAAAAACTTGAGTTTCTCTGCAGAATACCCCTAAGAGAAGGGTGTGATCAGTTACCCACTGAGAGAGATGCAGTACAAACAGGAAATAACCACAAAATGATTGTTTCTTCTATTATTATCATTTAATGTCTTTCTAAGGTCTTTCTCCCACTCTAGACAGTTAAGTTCTCTGAAGTCAAGGAACATGCTTGTTTTGTTCTCTAATGTATTCAGCACCTAGTAGTACTTTGTATACGGTATACACTTAGTGACTATTTGTCAAACATAGAACCTGAATCTCAGCTTCTTTGAATATATGTTCCATAAGTTAAAAAGCAAGCCAACACTTTTTGATTAGGAATGTGGAATAAGTTGTTACTGCTTTTAATTTACACTGGGTCCCTTCTAAGAATTCTTAATTTTGTATCATGCTTATTCCAGGGACAAAGTTCAGGGAGTAGATCAGACATAGGCTTCCCCCAATATGTTTAAAAATAGTTGTGACACACTTTGCAAAGTGGAACAATTATCCTTAATTATAATGCTTAGGTAGTCTGTTTGCTGGCCTAAATTTTTCATTTGAAATTATTACTCCTGTCCTGTACTTCCGGTTCTTCCCAGATAAAACATATATCAGAAGGGTAAAGAAGTTCTTCCAGGAGTTGGTAATAGCTCTCTATGCAGATTGGCCACCTAACTGGCAAGATATGGTAGCTCTAATTGTAGTTAGGAGATTTCAGAAATTGAACTTGCTGAACTAAGGAAGTAAATGGCAGCCATCAATACCATTTCAACAGACTTTTTAACAAATGTTTTTTGTGTATATGAAATATAGTTATAATTAAACTATAAAACCTACATATGACACCTGTTTTCAAATAGGATATTCAAGGTTAGGGAACTTCATATCCTGACTTATTACTACTTTAGTATAAGAAAACTCTAAAATATGGAGATACTCGCTTTCAATGAATGTGTCATGAAATTCTCCTCTTGGTCGCTTTTGGAATAAAGAAACTTTCTTTGCTCTGCAGCAGAGATTTGTGAAAGGATTTGTGAAGCTTTACACAGGTTTTAGTTGATCAAATGTAATTTCAAAAAGAATTATAATTGATAATTCATTCAAGCAGTTTGGAGTATTCTCATGATACATACATAAATTGAAGCCTGTGGAGTGTTTCTTTAATCTATAATATAGATCTTATAGTTTCTTTTCTGTTTGGGGAATTATGTATGATTTCTTGAGCAAAGCTGGGTAGTATATGCTGAAACAGGAAGCAATTTTATATGTTGCTAAATCTTTTTTTTTAGATTTTATTTATTTATTTGACAGAGAGAGACACAGCGAGAGAGGGAACACAAGCAGGGTGAGTGGGAGAGGGAGAAGCAGGCTTCCAGCAGAGCAGGGAGCCCGATGTGTGGCTCGATCCCAGGACCCTGGGATCATGACCTGAGCCGAAGGCAGACGCTTAACGCCTGAGCCACCCAGGCGCCCCTATGTTGCTAAATCTTAACTAAAATGTAATTTGTGGGATGCCTGGGTGGCTCAGTTGGTTAAGTGTCTGCCTTTGGCGCAGGTCATGATCCCAGGGTCCTGGGATCGAGTCCCACATTAGGCTCCTTGCTCAGCAGAGAGCGCACTTCTCCCTCTTCCTGCCACTTCCCCTGCTTATGCTGTCTCTCTCTCTGACAAATAAAATCTTAAAAAAAAAAAGTAATTTGTGTTTTTTATAGTTGGACTGGTTCATTTTTTGAGAGAAAGACATTGGACCTTTGGTAATACACCTTTATTTTCTTAGGAAAACATAGCTGGTCAGAATAGGGGGGGCTTCATTTATTCCTCTTTATTGCCAGGACTTTTCTGACTTAACTTGAGAACTCTGGAAAAAACTACTTCTTTACTTTGACTGAAGTTACTGAATGGTAAAAGATGATGAATTAAAAAGCTAGCTGTGGGTTTTAATTTGATTGAGAGAGATGAGCCACACAGTTTTTCTTTAACTTAGTTTTTTTTTAAAGCTCAGTTTTGACTAATTAATGGGAGAAAACTTATATTTCATGGATACAAATCATTGATGACTGGTTCATCTCTATTTGTATTCTTACCTGGCAGACATGCCTAGATTTTCTAAAGCTTTTTTTACTTGCTTTTTATTTGGGCATAAAGTAATGTTTTTAATTTTTAAAAATAAAACTACAGAAGGAGCCATTTAAAAGCCAAATGGTCAAGAAGATTGATCATGTGACTTAGAGCAGTTTCAAACAGAGTTCCTCAGAACCCCCCAGCATTAGTAAATGTTTGTTTAAAAAAAAAGGTTTTCTTGGTCTAACAATTTTAGGAACTTATAGGTGGGTGGTAGTGGGAACTTTAAGACATTAGTGTTAAGCAGAACACTATTTGGAAACTTGAAACCAGTGAGCCCACAATGATCACTATCACTCCTCAATTAAAAAATTTTGTGTTAATAGCATCAACTAAGTATAATGACTTACAAATTGGTAGTATTTCAGAAGTTTGCTTGGAGATTAGTTCTTTGAAATATGTCCATAGGAACATGGTCATGATTAATGGGTAGGTGTTCAGGTTAGCCTACAAAGGCTTAGTTAATCTATAAAGGACTTACGTGAAAATCACAGAGCCTAATCACATTATGTGGCAGTATTTCTATGAGGAAAATATTTGGATTTGCAATTTTGATCAGGAAGAGCACATCTCTTATCTTTACCTCTATGCACCAGGAACTGTGTTAGGTATTGAAGTTAAAAGGATTACGATGTTCCTTACATTAGAATTCCCTGCATCAGATGTTCTGCAAGTTCATACCTTGCGTGCTGTTATGGGTGCCCAGCCTAGCCTCTTACCTGTCAGGCTCCTGTGATTTCCAGTAGCCTACACTAGTAAAGAGGAAGCTTAGGATTCCAGGACTGGTAAATAGGAACTGGGGGTGGATGAGGTATAGGCCCAACCTCTTGCCCCAATACTTCTCACTTCAGGTAAGCTCCCTACCCCCCCTTTTTTTTTTTACTTTTTATTTCTAAATAATTACAGATTCATAGGAGTTAAAAATGTACAAAGAGGCCCTACCTACCCCTCACTCAGGCCCCTCCAATGGTAGCATCTTGTATAACTATAGTACACTATCCAAACCAGGAAATTGATATTAATATAATACATAGAACTTATTCAGAGGGGAGGGAAGACATTAGAATGTAAAGAATATAAGAAAGTATCAGGGGGTGCCTATATACTGGAACCTCTTATAACCCTATG